CGTCGTGTCCGATTCAATGGCGAGTAACTCTCGTTAACAATTTTCGAAACGCGATTTGGTGCGTGCGAATTTCCCCCCTAACGGGCCATTACGGAATCGTGCAACAGTATTCGGAATCGAGATAAAAGCGACCCAAGAGATAAATCGACGATGATTCACGGTCTCGGCGAGCCGAATGTGGCCGCGAATGCAAATGTCGCGCGCGTTAGATGCTAATTTACAACGCGGTGAACCGTAAACACGTTCTTCCACGTGCCAGACGCTTCCTCGGCTAAAAGGATAATGGAAAATCGGTGATCCACGATCGCGGTGTTCCCGTACGAAAATCGTGGCAGAGTTTTCCCAGTGAACTCGAGCCGGTTAACCGTGAATTTACTTCCGGAGATCGTGGAAATCCGTGGAAGTTTTCCTCGGCCGGGAATCAAGTAGAATGGACGCGCGTCCCGAAAAGAAGAAGAAGAAGAAAAAAAGGAAAATCAGTCGGAAGTGTAAGATGTGGTGGTTGGCCCGTTGCTTAGCTTCCTTCCACGGAGGAAAATGGAACTGGAGGAGAGAATGCGCGCGTTCTACGCGCACACTTGACCGTATCTTAACGCATTTCTTTTCATTTGGCTCGCCGGTGGGCTTTCGCGAATACGGGCACACCGGCGCAACGCGATTTCTATCGGGCCCGGCTATCTTAATTAACTTACAGTCGGTATCGTGTTGTTGCGATATCGCGATAGATTTCTTAATCGTCGCAGTTTTCGATACCGTGAATTACGCGACCGATTATGCGTGCCTCGCGTCGGGTCTCGTGGAGCCCCCCGCGGGCATCATCGATGCTTTCCAACGTGGAAAGTCGATTGACGACACATACACACACACAGAGAGAAATTAACCGTTCGAGTCCCAAGTACATAGCTTGATCGTGCTGTTCAGATTTTCTGTCGAATAATCCCAGGATATTTGATCGCCACGGACAACTGACGGCGCACACACAGAACTGTCGAGTCTGCTCAACTTTACTGACGCGCGTACATCGAATAGCTGCTTTTTTTTCGTTTTAATGTAAATAATACAACTAACACATTTTGTGTGTACTTCGTCGCTATCTTATCAATAATTCTTATTGAACGAAACTTGAAGTACAAGCACGCACATTAAAACAAACGCTATCGCGATATTCGGCAATTTTTCGACCGTGTTTCTCCAATGACCCATGGGACTCGAGCGGCTAAAAATTACATTTTACTTATCGTAACTGTCGCCGAATGGCGTAATTTGGAGCTAACCTTTCTCGTTCGCCGGCGAATGTTTGTTTCCGTTCGCGCCGGGTTCGCCGGCTTTAGCCGGGACAGTTTATATAACTATCGGCGCGACAATTTCTGCCGTTTTAATCAGCCAATTCCTACACGTACCGAATGCGCTCCGAAATCGTCCGTCGAAGGCAAGGTCGGCGCGCACGGTACATGCCAGGATGCTTCGAGGGTCTCTCGAGAAGCGGAGTTTAGGCTACCTGCAAGTTTTCGGGAGTCGAGCGCGGCACATCCGGTGCAGCGGGCTCCCATTGACTGAAACGTCGGGTCGCAAACAGCCCCGAAGCTGGTGGCAATAAGGCGGCGAAGGTTTCCTGGGACAATGGGAAGAGTCGAGTGGACAGTAACGATAATGGCGCGGCCATGATTTCTCGCGTCCGCCAATAACTCGCTCGAACTATAACGATCTCATCGGCCGGCCGGCTGTAACGAGACCGCCTCGAAATATATATGTACCGTGTATATAGCACACGCGTCGCGAACACTGAAATTTTCGCTCGAATTAACGTCCCCGGATTTCAACCGATTCGAAATCACGCGAGAGAGGATCCCCGTCTTGCGGCGAGCGAGCGAGCTCTCCGCGCCGATCGGATATATTGCGATGAAGCTGTAATCGTCCGGTATGCAAATTATTTTCCGAAGACCATTCCGCTATCAACACCTCGCCGTAATGTACCCGACAATGTATTTATTCTCCGCGCTTTCGCAATCGCCTTTTTTCCTTCTCTCTCTTTCTTTTTTCCCCCCGCGAAGAGCTGCGGAGCTAGAGGATGCGTTCTAGCGATCTAACACTGCCGTAAATCACGAACCAACCGGCTCGTCGTCCGGCGTCTCGATCTCCAGCTTGCGTTTTCATCTTCTGGAAAACGCCTCGGGCTAAAACGGTGAGAGAGAGAGAGAGAGAGAGAGAGAGAGAGAGAGAGAGAGAGAGGACAGAATTTCTTGCACGTCGTTCCAGAACTTTTTCGCGAACCAGTCCTCAGAGGGGGCTGTTGTTCCGCCGAGTCGTTGATTTATTTTCGCAGCTCGGCCCAAGTTCTGCCAGTCGTTGTTCCACTGTATAGACTAAATAAGCATGTCGTGAACGTAAGATCAGGGACACGAGTCTCGGTATGTGATACAATATCAATACACTGGGTAATAAACTACCAGTTGTCAGGTAAAAGGTTCTTTCAGCTTTTAACAGTTTTAGTAACTTGAAAATGATGTAATAACGCTCTTTAATTCTCTTAATCGGTCTACTGCTTTAAAATCGATCTACTCATTTTTGTCATAAAGGCATAAAATCCGCAGTTTGGTAATAACACAAAGTGTTGCCATTTCTTCACGACAGCTAACTAGCTCAGAAGTATATATACTTTTATATTCTTTATTCGATGTCACAAGTATTTAAACAAAATATGAAGAAGCTCAAGCGTGTTTAATTGCAGTAACTTTGCAACAGCTAACGGATTAAACAGCAAGAGCTCGTTTCTGAGAAACGTCTTTTCAGAAGAATCGTTTATTTTCATTCTACTCCAACCAGTAAATTCCGCCCAGTAGCACTTTCTTCGCACAGTGCGTACCTCTCGAACAATTTTACTAAAACAATAATATCGTTATTGATTCTTCTTATCTCTGCGACGTTCACGTGGCGCTTACCGTCTCCCGGCGCAACCGCGAAAGCTCCTCCGTCTAGTTATGATAAGTAGACGCGTCCCCCGATACGCGGCTGAGATATCGCAGCGTTTGTATAATAGAAAATTGAAACGGCGGTCGCCGTACTCGGGCCGCGATATAATTCGCGGCTAATAGGATTCTTTAATTATCTCCATAAATAGCCGGCGAACGCGTGCTCCCCGGGGTAATTTACTCCCGGAGTCGATGCCGGCGCTGCTCCTTTTTTCCTCCCCGGCGCAACGCGCCGTCTTATCGGGCAACGTTCGCGAGAAGTGTCTATTCGCGATTCAATAAAGTCCTTATCTGGTTTACGAGTGCGTAAGAATAACTTTACGAGCCGCGAACCAAGGGTAGAGAGAGCCGGAGAGCTCTCTCTACGCGTCGCGGTAGTCGCGACACACTGTGTGTTGTAACCGCGGCACGATTTATTCGGATAAACGCCGCGTTCTATAGTCGGATAACGTCCGCGATCGGCCAATATAGTCGGATAACGTCGTTAATTGGAACGGGCCCGGGTGGGAGGAATAAAGAGGCACACAGTGGAACGGCCTTACATATTTACTCGCGGAAGACTTCTCGCAGAACGATCGCCTTGCTGTCGATACATTTCGCTCCAATTTTTCGTTTAAATTGTTCGACCTTTTTTTTTAGTTCGTTTCGGAGCTATTGTTCTCAACGTTCACCTTGGAGTGATTACGGATACATATGTACTTGCCGACACGGTTTCATTCGAGTCTGGCAACGATCACCTTACAGACATTATTATTGGCAGGGAATGAACTTGGACTCTACTGTATAAACTATACCTTTTAACGGCAATTACATGCTGTTTCGAATGATTTTATTCATTATTGTAACAGTAGTATTGTAACTCCAACCGCTTGCCATTTCGATTAGCGTGCGTTTCATTAAACGGCGACGTCGCCGCCGGCTCGCTTTTCCCCGAGCTTCTACCGTCAAAGTACTAAAACAGCGCTCGCAACGCGCCAAAGAACACGCACAAATCAGAGAAATGCAGGGAAGCGAAGATTTGTACGAACATAGCAGCAGAAGCTCGTTACCAGCAAAAAGACCTGGTAGATGCAATCGCGGCAACGTCATGCCGGCACTTCCGAGCCGAGTTCTGCGTCATGGAAGCAGAACTTGTAAGTGCCGTGGTTCGTCGAGAGGATCGAAAGACGGGGCGAAATACGTTTCTAACCCCCGCGGAGAACTTATGTCGCTCGTGATACAATGTACCGCATTGTTAACGGTTTTGGGTGGACGATTTCTGAACGGGCGCGTGTTCCCTTTGATCGGACAACGTTTGCAGACCGGCCGGTTGGCTGTCCCCGCGGTCCGTGGCCCAGAAAGATCGTCGCCAGGCCGGTCTAATCCAGCGACGTTTCTGTTTAATCGAGGGAAGACGACGTCGCGGGAAGGGATTAAGCCCGTTACGCTCGAACGTTCACGATCCGTTCGTCTAATCCCCGTTTCTAACGGCTGCGGAGAGAAGTTACAGCGGGAGAGCTTTGCGTGTCGAGCTGCCGCGAATTTCCTACTTTCTAATTGCGTACCCGTTGGAATAAGTTTCGCGTTGCACACGCCCGCCTCTGTCTCCCTGTTCCGCGCTTCTCTTTCTCTCCTCTCTCTTTCTTCGCGCTCTAGCCCTCTCCTCTCTTTCTTCCTTCTCTCTCTCTCTCCCTCTCTTTCTTCGCGCTCTCTCCCTCTCCTCTCTTTCTTCCTTCTCTCTCTCCCTCTCTTTCTTCGCGCTCTCTCCCTCTCCTCTCTTTCTTCCTTCTCTCTCTCTCTCTTTCTTCGCGCTCTCTCCCTCTCCTCTCTTTCTTCTCTCTCTCTCTCTCTCTCTCTCTCTCTCCGATCCTGTCTCCGTCATCTATTTTTCTTTCCACCCGCTCGGCCGCCATTGTCCGCGTCCTCGGCGCCCGTTTATCCCGGTGCATGCGTTTCACGGGCGGGGTTAAAGAGCTCGATAATATTCGCATCGGATCGATTCGACGCCGAGACACTCTCTCTAATTACGATTCTTTCTATTTTTGCTTGCAGATTGGATGAGCCCGTTCGACAGAGTCGTGTGCGGTGAGTATTACCTTATTGTTACCTAGAACACCGTTCATCGTTTATCGAGACCCGCGTTTTCGAAGCTTGCTGATGGTTTGCTTTTTTATTAATCGTGTTGCACCGATGTTGGAGACGAGCGAATTTTCAGCGGACAATTGCTGGACAAGTGATTTCACTCGAACAGAGTCTCGAGTTTTCGGAGTATATTTGACCTCGTGCATCTTGAGGCATCGATAAGATTCCGCGGACTATGATATCGAACAAGTTTTATATTTAATATAATTCAATTCGTTTGTATATTTGTGTAGAAACCCATTCTTCCAGTAACGAAAACAAAGCGTAACTTAACGTCGAATTGCGACTACATAATCGGCGAATTAGACGAACAGTTTATAGAGACTTGTTTTTCTTTTGTCGTATTACTGTTCGCATTCAACAAATTGCTGAAAAATTGCGCGAGTATACGTGGTCGATTATACGCGCGAAAACAGAACGAAAGGAACGTTCCAGATAAAATAAGATAATTCCAGATAAAAGTTATCGAGTGAAATGCGTCCGGGCATACAAATGATTAGGGTCTATTATGCCGCGCGAGTTAATGGAAAAATAAAGATTTGACGTATTATTCTAAAAGGCCGGCCGCGTTTAAGCCGTATTTTGCGGGAAAACCGGTGGGGAGGCGATAGATAGCGAGCGGATCGGCTAATCGCCGATAATTGTAGCACTCGGCTGAGAAAGCCATTTGCACAATCAATAACCGGCGCGACGCAATTTAAATGTAAACGAGAGCCGTTGGACCAGCGTCGTATTTCACCGAGCAGTATTTAAATCGGCGAAAGAACAGACACGGCGTCCCGGCGGTCGCAAAATCGGAGAAAGACCCGGAATCGACAGGACAATAGCACGTGGCTTAGACCGGGATTCGATTTACAATTCTAATCCAGTTCCATAATTTATCCGACCGTTCTCGGGCCGAGTCGGCGGGACCGTGGCAGGAGGGGGAGGTTAGCATGCCGAGTGTCCTTGAAAGCGTGAAAAACTCCTCTTATCCGCGACGCATAGCCGGGCTCGCGCGTAAATCTCGGCGGAGGATCGTCGGCTGGAAGTGGTCAGAGAGGTAAAACGAGTCTCGGATGCGCGCGGGGACGAATCTGTTCCCAAGCGTGCTGCCGCCACATATGGCAGCCATATTTCCGAGCGTAAGAGTCGCTTTCATTCACGAGGCGTTATCATGCGAGCCGGTTGCCACTTTTTCCCGGCTCCCATTACAACCGTCGCTCAAATTTCCGCCAGGCAGCAGCGGGACCAACACGAAAACTGGACGGAGGACACGCCGGTTGCCCGCCGGTTCGCCGAATAAAGGACCCGGGCTGCCAAGATGGCGGACCAATGGTCACGGTTCCGACCGAGAACCGGTAGTCCCCGTTCTTTAACCCTTCCGAGGCTTTCGAGAACTTCCTGCCGAAATTTCCTACTGTGCTATTTCGGGATCGGCTACTTTTTCAGATCGATCTTTCCGTTGGCCTTGATTCGAGCGGCCGTCGTTGTATCCCGTTAAAGAGTATTTTATTCGTAAAATACGACGGAACTTAACCGTTGAAAACGCGTTGACAAATACGCTGTACGTTCTATTAAAGTAATTAAAGGCGAGATGATGGGCGTATAGAAGATCTTTAAATGCTTGGATTAGGTGAAGAACAGGAAGCTATCTGTGTATGATGAAACGGCGTGGGTATACAACGCTGTTGATTGAAACTGGTTTTCGAAGTTGCAAGTGAAACGGTAGGCTTACAAGTCTGAGTCCCAGCCAGGCTGGCCCGAGAAGTCCTGCTATTCCAGAAATATGTGGAGACAGTTTGAATCGTTCTTTTCAATTCACGTTTCATTACATTGATTTATATTTCGCCCGAGCTACCAGACGTAATCCATGAAGTATCTAATTGCCGAGGTAGTACAGTAAAATCTTAGAAAGCTGTAGATCGTTGTAGATCTTTCCGATGATATTTATTCATCGTGTATCATGTAAGTTACCGAGATCTACAAAACGTATTTCTTAAATTTTCGTTATAGGCTCAGACAACAAAGTAGAAAACGATGACTGTAATCTTCTTGTTATTCCAAGTAATAGCAAAATTTAAAAAGAAGTATTACAGCCATTGTCTAATAAGCTAGTCCTTCAGTCATCTAAAAAAGATTTAAACTTATTTAGTCCAGTGTTTGAGAAGTTGTACCTTTTTTTTAAGAGGTTTTAAGTATATGGCCGCCATTTTATACATCCTGTTAGTTGCTGCACAGTTTTCTCTAGCATAACCTGACACCCTGACCACATTAAATATAAAAAGAACGTTAACGTGGTGTTTACAACTAAACTATACAAATTCGAAGTGTTGCCATACGGTCACGCTATGTTCCAGTGGGTAAGAACGGAGCGTAAATCGTAACCTCGACATATTACACATCTACAAAATGAGGAAGATAATCGTCACGCCCATTGGAGCTGTCTTCGTGGCGTGACGGAATATTTCGGTTAACAGGTTAATACAGTTTCTCTCCGTAGCGTCGCGCGGCTCGAGAGACCGAGCAAGTCATCGTCCTCATTGTTTCACCGTCTATGCTCGCTCCCAAACGACGCACTGCGATCGTCCTCGGCAAACGCGACGCCAAGGGGGTAACAACACGGGGAACAGTTCCAGCAATCAAGGTCGCCATTGTATCATTGGACAGGGTCGGAAAAGGAGTTCCAAAGGCACTGTCTGCCCGTAAAACTTGGCGCGAGGAGTTCGACGATAAAAGCATCGCGCTGGCGCATCGTTAAACTCTCCTTAGCGTCGCGTCGGACGGCGTGGCCCGCGAAATAAGTCGCTTTAAGGCTAATTCGTGCGTCAATTCGTGGAGCCGGGCCGCCGATGATCTCGGCCCGGCCTGGCCCGGCCCGGCTCGGGCGTCGGCTCTCGCTTTTATAAGATGGCGTCGTTCGCGGGTTCATTGCGGCGTAAAAAAGATGTCCTTGCGCGGACGTAAGCCCCGGAGACCCGCTTCTGTCGCCGAACTGTGTCAAGAAAAGTCAAGGGCACCGGTCGTTCACTCGATTCCTCGCAGCACGTGCCCGCCGGCGTGTGTTGTATATGCCCCCCTGTTCATTTATGTCAGTTGCGCATGCAAGAGGGACCTGAGCAGTGCACGGGCCGCGGGACCGCACACCTGTCGTCGCCGTGATAGCGTTCGCTGCCCGCAAAACTACGTCCGCGACTATCTTTTATACGGCCTATTAACCGGAGGGGGGGGAGACGAGCGCCGCTGTAAACAGCCGATTAGGCGAAATTAAAACCGCGGGCCCCGGTCACGGGAAGGGGCTTATCGCGATGGTTTGTTTACACCGGAGCGGATCATAATTTTAAATAGAAGCGCCGCCCGATTACGCCGCAGGAAGTCGACGCCGTACGAACGGAACAGTTATGTTGCTCGGTTAGGCCAAACCGTTCCGAACGGACAATCGACCGTTCGCGACGATCGCTACGATCGTTCTCTGGCTGGACAACTTGTTCGGCAAGATGGTTGTTGAATTAATTCAACGGTCTCGCGCGATCCTGGATTCGGATGATTCAGACATTTTAAAACGCCCGGCGTTCGGCTGCGAGATGCTCGGTCCGTTCGATGGCTGATGGTTGAGAGGTTTTCTTCGGTAAGCGCCTTCCAGCTTCGTTGTAACGTTCCGTGGGAAATGACGAATCTTTTGAAATACGTTGAGCATTTATGCGCGCGTTGCCCAGTTCATTTTTGCGATGCAGCGGTTCGAATTCGCCGCTGGAAATTCAGTTCGATTTGGCAAAAGTGAACTTAGATTTTCTGTTGCACAGTGACTCGCATTAATATTCGGACACCTTTTAAAACAGTGTTATATTTTTCACATTGAACGAAACGATTTGAATTTTTTTTGGAGATGGGCGGACTAGTTTACTGTACATTGACTAAAATACCTCTTTCTAATTTTGCTGTTAGCTGGAATGACGAGAGAAATAAGGAACTCGTGCTCTTTAACTTTTTTATCCGAGTTGAGAACGAAAATTTGAACGATATTATAAGCTATAGTTGTTAAAATCGTCGATGTCAAAATCTCTGGATTTTTCACAGATTTTTTGTCGAAGATCGCGGAAGACCGCGATTTTCGCTGTCTTTAATTGTTCGTAATGATATAACGACGTCAGCCAATTTCGATAAGATTTTCAGTACGTATATAACTCACCGATATCTGCGACATGAATTTTTCAAATACTCGTTATCGACACGGAAAAAGAGTTTAAAAATGCGATATTTTTTCATTCCAACCGATTGCAATTTAACAGAAAAATTTGCAGACACGAAATAAAAATGTCTACGAACAAGGTTTACGAAAAGGTATAAATTAAAAATTGAATGTGAGTTGTTTCGGCCACTTTTAAAAAAGTTATTCAGTTTTAAAATGTGTTCGAATACGAGTCACTGTACATTACGAGACTACTCAAATGACGGAACAGGTGTAGAGCGACCTTGTATTATGAAATCGTGGCATCTGACCAAAAATAAAAACGCAAATATGCGAATTATTGGACTAATTATGAAACAAGTATAATTATAGAACTTTAGGAAGTTACGAAAAATCGAGGCGTCTTCGCTGCAACATCGTTATCCTGATCTAACAAACGACCGCCAATGATCGTCTATCGCGCGTTTAAACATTTTACAATTACCGCATACGCTTTAAGCATACGTAAAGCGTTTTATTTATCGCCGCGATAACTGGAGTGCGCAACGTAGGATTTCGCCGGTTGTTTCGGCAGAGCGTTGTCCGTGTCCTCCGGTCGGTAGCGGGAGCCAGAGCCCCGACCGTTCACAAATTTGAGCAAGTTCTGCAATTCGGGGCAACAAGCCATCCCCAGTTAGCCTTTAATCTCGCCAGCCGAGTCTCTACCGGAACAACCGCTTCAAATTCGAGCCGAGCGGATATCGCGGAGACAAATCCGGATGCTGTTTTCGAAATG